GCACACAGGGTGTTTTTGGCACCCCGGGGTGGGTTTCTTTCACCCCAGGGGGGTCCCCCGAAAGCAGCCGGCGTTGCCACCGCCGCCACTCACCACTGGGAGCTGGTGATGGTGTGGTCGATGACCGTCCCCGGCGGGGTGGAGGCCAGTTGCTCCGGGGTGAGGGTGTAGAAGTTGGTGCTGATCTGCTTCTGCACCACCACCACCACCATGCTGGGCTGGTAGTTGTCGAAGGTGTCGAAGCATTTCTGGAGCTGCGGGATCTCGTACTTGAGCACGGTGTCGAGCTGGCTGTCGGACACGCCGTCCCTGTACACCACGATCTTCCTGGGCAAGCAGTGGTTCATCTGGGCAAGCAAAACGGGAAGAGGGCACTGTTTTTTGACTCCCCAAAGGCTGCCCAGGGCGCTCGCTCGTTCGAGGCGGGTTTGGGGCGATATTAAACCAGTGGAAGGGTTTTTTTTTTTTTTGGGTAGTGCTGGGCTGGGGGCTCGGCCTCACCTCGTGGAAGTGCTCCAGGGCGTCAGCCAGGCAGAGCCGCAGGCTGTCGGCGATCTCCTGGTGAGGCATCTGGAAAACCACCCTGGAATACCACTTGGTGAGGACCCTGGGGATGGAGCGGGGGCGTCAGGCACCCACCTCGCCTCAGGGGAGGGCACCAGGTTCACCCCATTCCTGGCAAAGGGAAGGGGGCGGCGAGGCTGGAGCGGGAACCCCCCCGGACACCACGCACTGATTCATGCTGGCCACGAAGCCGAAGACGGAGCGCATCCCTCTGCTGCGGCTGTGGTAGACGTCCATGCCGATGACCATCAGCTGCTTCTGCGGGGGGAGAGGACAGCGGAGTCAGGGAGGAGTTTGGGATCAGGGAGGAGGCAGGAGCTTGGGAAGAGGCAGGGGGAGACTCAGGGAGGAGGCAGGAGTTTGGGACCAGGGAGGAGGCAGGAGTTTGGGACTAGGGAAGGGGGGACTCAGGGATCAGGGAGGAGGCAGGAGTTTGGGACGAGGGAGGGGGGGGCGGAGGG